ACAAATAATTCGAATTATTTAATTGTCAAAAGTGTGTATATGCTTAGCGCAAAATAAATAAGTTTATAAAGCAATTTACTTGTTCCTGTGTGGGCATCTGTGGTGGTTATTGTTTGAGTTTGTTGAGAAGCTGCAAGTGCACGTTTCATTAGAATTTCATTACATTCCTCAGCTGTTAACTGTATGGGACCAATTGGACTGTAATGTGTTTTACTTCCAGGAGGTGCTGCGGTAAGTATAGCTTTTTGTTCGACAATACCATTTGTTAGTGCATGCGTTTGATCTGTGTGATCAACTAAAAGATCTAAAGAAAACATTTATGTATTTAATGAATTTTCAAACAAACAAAATTATTTTTTAATTACAATTTTTATCGCAATTCAAACTTAAAACTTGTTGCTCTTGTTTCTTAACAACTGTTGGGGCTGCGCTTGTGGTGATAACACGTTGACCTGATGGAAATGGTTCGTTAACAACAAACATGCGACGTACGACACTTCCTTTATTTGCAGCTAAAGCATTCTTGACATCCTTTTGCATAGTGATTGAACCATCCGTTAACAAATATGGCATCTATGTACAAATTATTTTTTTTATTAATTTATTTATAGAACAATATGTAATATGTTATATGAAAGTAAAAAAAAAAAAATAGTGCATATAAAACTAACTAAGAATAACTCTAAAGGTGCTAAACCTTTAAGACATTATATTAATAACCAACCAAAGTTAGAGTGAAGGCCTTGTGCCCAAAGCGCGGGTCAAATAATGACCCGTCATATTAAAATGGAACAGAGTTTTTGGCAACACAGTGGTCAGTATACGAATATCACTAAAACGCACAAATTTCCCAATCAAGTGAAAGTAAATCAACCTGAAAAGTCTATAAACTTGGCAAACGAAGTTGTTAATTTTGCAAGATGGCAAATTTTATCAGGTCAATAAGAAAAAGCGTCCAAAAGATTTGGAATTTCCTCCTAACCAATTAAGCAACCAATCTATACAAATTTTACAGGATGACAGCTCTGTTCGCCCCAAAGATTTTGAGATTTCTCCTACCCAATTAAGTAAATAAAACCCACACTTATACTACTAAAATGGAAGAGTAAAAAAACAATATCACGAAACAAATATACAGTCGCAACCATACCAGAACCAGTCGGGTCTACGTCCCGAAGGCACTCATTTTACAAACGACCAAGTGCTGCTTACCGTTCTCATAAAGGATTCGAAAGGAAGATCGTTTTCACTGCAGTTAATACATGCTTTTGGTCAAATCGAAAAATATATGATTTCATACGGATTTAATCTATAACGAAGGCACACAGCAACAATAGAAAGGTGATATACTAATTAACTAATCAAATAATTGATTTGAAAAATATCTACATTTGCTTAATCAGACAAGAGTTAATATCAACACGTTGTTGTTGTTACTCAGCGTTGTAGGAGAGTCTTCTAGTTTGACTACTAAATGACACTTTGGCCGGGACCTATGTCCTGTTAGACATATATGCAGTACCTTTATTAACTCTGGGTTTTGACAAGAATCTTAGTTCACCGCCATGTATATACTAACAATGTACACTTATCTTAGTACGCACATTAGTCAGTACACATTGTTGTTGGTTGTTGAAAATTTATCAAGCACCTAACAAGTAAGGAAGTACAAGGATCTATGCAAGGGTTAGAATGTAGGTAGGTGTGATTGTTCCTGTAATTTGTTGTTCCAATGACCATGCAAACTATAACAATTTAACTGGTGTAAAAGTTAGTAGTGAGTGAAACTTAATCGAAGTACACTCATAACTCTGTAAGATCTGATTGCTCCTGGGATCTGTAGATATTATGAGACTATTTACTTGAGTAATTATTTAGATTTTCACAAAACTGTACGTACGAAAGGTGGAATTTTTAATTTGTAGAATCTGAAGACAACTACATTAATTAGAAATGTATAGTAATAAATGAAATGACATCTTTAAACAGCTTAAGCACCAAATAATTGTCTATCTTGTAAAACTTTTGTAGCTTCAAAAGAAACGCACTCATAGGTAACATAACTTTATCTATCTAAATACAAGTAAAAAAATATTTTAGGAGAATCAATTAAAGAATACATTTCGATTAATTTTTCTTTCTTCTTTAAATGGCCATAATCCGTTTACGGCGACATGCATGCTGTCTCTTCATGTGCCCCCCATATATATTTTCATCTGCCTCGTAAAGCAAGAATGGTTAGTGTTCCCTCAACTTCATCACTCCACCGGAGACACTTCTTTCTCCAAACCTAACCCTTCAATTACCTTTTTCGTTGGAGCAAATACCTTCATCTATTCTCATGACATAACCAAGTCAGCGTACCCATTGAATGTTGATTTCTTGACTTATATCAATGTCGTGATAAAGCACGTACAATTCGTGGTTTATTCGAATGTGATAGTCGTCGCCAACTTGTGGGGGAGTAAAGATCTTACGAAGAACTTTTCTCGCAATTACTGAAGACTCCAATTTCATAAAGGACTTTTGTAAAGTACACTAATCTCAAACATTTTTTTCACTTGTTTTTATGTTGATATAACTTGGTTCACAAAATGCCGGTCTTTAAAGCAATACGCTGATAATATACACAGGTATTAAATGAAATTTACATACAATCAGCAAAAAAAGCTAATCGAAGCCGTCGAGGTTTCTCTGTTCGCAAGGAAAGCGTACTAAACAAGCTTTCCTAAGTACAGTGAAACACTATCAGAGCTACAACAAAATTACTACAGTAATGTCAGTGTCAATTAGCAAGTTTAATATTAATTTTATTTTATTTTCTTGACATAAAAATTATAAATTAAAAATGAAAATGAAAAAAAAAACAAAATAAAAAAGACTAATAAATCTTCTAAATTCAAGAATTGCTGAAAGCAGTTGGAAAATGTTGGAGGAGGAGAGAACTTAAATAATTAAGGTGGCAACATTTTTTACATTGAATTTAGCGCCAAAACTACAAGTAGTCAAAACAAACATACTACGCTACACACTGGCAAGTGTTGGTATGTGCGTTCAACAATAAATTACTTATACATACGCAATTCATACAATGAAGAGCGTAAGCAAATCAATGTTTTTTTTTCAAAGACAATACACAAGTGGAGGACGAGTCAGTATTTTTTTAATTGGATTGAACTGTTGCGCCTCTTGTCACTTCTCTTGCATTTTTTTTAATATAAGTTTCTTTATATTTAAATTATTCTAATAGCATATTTTTAATATAAAGGATACTCTAAACAAATTATATAAAGAATTTTATATAAAATAAATAAGCAACTTCAAGTGTTTATACTTCATACACACGAGAATCACCAATGGTTGTGAGAACGTTTTGACTCTCTAATCGCTCTCGGGCTCACACTACACTTGCATGTGACAGCACTACAAACGTTACATAAAAAAAGTTGTGCTACATACACAAACTACATACGAATTCATGCATACAGATTATACATATTTATGATGGGCTAGTAATATGGAGCCAATGCACACACATTGTGTGTCACACAATGAAAATCTTTTTTTTTGTAAGTATAAAGAGGGAAATTAGAAATAGTATTGATGTGAAAAACAATCTAAACAATTATCAGAAAACAAAATTTACTTACGGATTCACTGCTGACGGTATAACTAATATTAGGCGACATTTCTAATACGGAATCCGCGCGACTGTTGTCAGCGAAGCCCCATGTATAGCCGAAGCTCTGCTGCGGGTTGCTTTGTGCAGCACACATTGTATTTATTTCAATTTTTTTTTTTTCACCGAAAAAATTTATAAGTATTTACAATATTTAGGTAAACAAATTTCACCAATACAATATAATAATTGCTTAAATTGTGTATTTATATATCGTTTGTGTATATACAATTAGTATAAAAGTACAATTTTTTTATATAAAAACAGAAAATCAAAACTGAATGGTGTACAGAAAAAGAAAGTCAACTCGCTTTGATTGCGTGCGCCATTTTAAAGCAATTTATAATTTAACTTTTTAATGGATATTCATTTGCCATCAATGCATGAAATATCCTTTCACAACTAACGTTTTCTTATTTACACTCCAACACTAATAAATATGTTATCAAACAAAAAAAATCCGCGAAAATTTTATATAAATTAATTCACAGACACACAGAAATTCCTCATCACTTTGTAAACGGCCATTTTGGTATTGTTTTTGCCTCTGTGGTTTCACGAAGCCACGAATATATAGAAGCATTGCCAGCATTAAAAAAGTTTGCATGCATACATTTAAATAAATATATTTTGTATGTAAAAATGATATTTGTATGATAATGGTATATATATAGTACACATATATAATAATGTATTTATAATATAATAAAATAATAATATAGTAATAAATATATATAATAAATAGTACTATAATGTATATAATAAACATTTTATTCTAAAAATAGTATTTTTCATATATTTTAAATAATATATTTCATATTTTTATAAAAAATAATTTTTTTTAATAAAATAATATATTCAATAAAAACAATATTTTCAGTTTCATATAATAAAATAATATATTCCATTTTTTTATTAAAAATAATGTTTTCCATTTTTTTTTAAATAAAAATAATATTTTCAATATTTTTTAATAAAATAATATATTCAATTTTTTCATTTAAAATAATAATATTAAATTCTTTGAATAAAATAATATATTCATTTTTTAATTATAAAAAATGTTTACAATTTCTTTTAATAAAATAATATATTTCATTTTTTTATTAAAAATAATATTTCCATTTTTTTTAAATAATTTTTTTAATTTTTTTTATTACAATAACGCAATCCATTTTTTTTATTAAAAATCTTTTCCATTTTTATTAATTAAAGGAAATATTTTCAATATAAAAAAAAATACAGTCAAACTTCCATAACTCGAAGTACCATATAGCAAAGAAAAGGTTCAACTTATGGAGACTTCAAGTTAAAGAACTTTGATTTAATTGTAATTTGCTCTCTAAGCCTTGTTGCACTCTATTCAGTTTGAGTTATTGAAAATTCGAGTTATAGAAGTACGAGTTATGGAAGTTTGACTGTATTTTCCATTGTTTTTATTAAAAATGATATATATAATTTTTTTAATAAAAAAATATATTAAACTTTAAACTTTAAAATATTCAACTTTTATTAAAAAAATGTTTTTAATTTCTTATAATAAAAATAATATTTCTAAATAAATAAAAAAAACGTAAACTCGCGATTATACTTATAATATATATGATGGTAGTTTTATTAAAAATATTATTAGTGCTTTTATTACAAATAACATAAACTAAAATATGTGTAACAAATGCCGATATCGAATACTTCAAAAATCATATACTACGAGTACATTTAAGTATCATATATCAAGCAATTTTTAGACTTTTGACTATATTTTTATATATCAACTTATATATTCACATATGTTTTTATTGTTATATACATTAATTTTTTACATTTTTTAATAAAATTAATAATAAAATTCAATTTATTAAGTAAAATATATTAAATCCTGTAAGTCAGACATTGTTAGCAGAGTACGGTGCATCAAAACATAAATATGTTTCAAGTAATTTTTTTCTGTGTAGATATGCGGTGACGCTTTGACATTTGATCAGGCATTTATGGGCTGCCATCTCACTATCGTGTATTAGATGTAGCACTTTCCTACTTAAGTTAAATTTACGTAAAATATATATTGTGTAAAACGAAATATTTTATATACTAGACCTAAAAAATTTTTCACAATCATTGTTGCTGACTTCAAGTTATAATATATTTATTTAAAATTTTTAATACTATTGTCATAACGTCACGTTATTTAACAACATATGTACACAAGTCATTTTTCCGAATTGTATTGATGTATTAACGAATAAAATGTTGGGTAAATGAAAACTAAATAAAAAAAACGCAAAACCCATTCCTTATTTGTATAAATTAAATAATTTTATTGTAAATAATATAATATGTTAATATTATATACTATGTTAGTATATAATAAAATATTACAAAACTAAATAAATTTTAAATTAAATAAATTAATTAAAACAAACTTAATTTTGCATACCTGAAGGCATATAGCAAAGCGAACATCAAGATTGTATTTATAATTTTATATGTCCAAAGCATATTTCTGTATTCTATATCAGAAATTTATATTACTTCATATGATATTTACTAACGATGTAATAAAACTAATTGATTTGCACTGATTATGTATATACAAGTCTAACTTTATGATTAATATTAATCAGTTATAAAAATTTGTATAATTTATATTTTTCAAAATAATTTCGTATTTAGCATAGGTATATATATGAATTATTAAATTGCAAGGAGAGGAACGATCAGCACTAAAAATGCCAAGTCGTATAATTAATTCTTTTGCGTATTCTTTTATGTGTACATAAATATAAAATGTATATTTGTGAACATATAAGAAATATAATCATTTTATGATAATCATTATATCACATATATATTTATATATATATACATATGTTATTATATTTTTTAGTAGAGATTATATTATATCCAAATAGCTTGGATGCACTCATAACAAACAGTTGAATGTATAGCATATGTTAAAAACTAAGGATAGATATGTGTAAAGAAAAATTACATACCAATGAAATTTTAAATTTAAGATAAGGCATACGATTTTAAAAATAACTAAACTTTAGAAAAATTTTGTTGAAAACCAGGCATGTGCGAAAGTTATATTTTATTAAATTTGTTTTTATGAAAACAGTTTTAATATTAATTAAGCAAAAAATACTGTGGACAATTTTTTAATACGATCTTAACAATGTATTGTATGTCTAATTTATTTCCAATCTATTAAGTGACGTATGTATTTAAAGCAATTGACATCGTGAATTAAATATGTGCTTGGTAACCCTATTTAAATGTCAGTTACTTGCAGAACTGCAACGGCCTTGAAATTGTTGAGCATAGTTTGCGAAGATTTGTTTTAAGCCGTTTGTGAAAAATTGAAATTCAATAAATAATAATACAGAAATTTGGATTGAATCTCTAACTAAATAATGACAAGTAAAATACATTATTAATGCGAACCATAAATGGTTCGATTTAATAGTTTCCAAGTTTGCATTGAAAAGGTGTGAGGCTTGCGTTGTGCATTGAATATTTGTAATATTGTCCTAAATATAAAGTGTAACTCATGTAAATAAAAAAAAAAGAATAATTTTCAATTAAATTTTGAATTATTTCTATATAAATTATTAAAAACATGCTGCAAAAATATGTCGAAGCGACAACGTCCAATATTTTACCATAATTCGTCTTGGATGCAGTTTTGTCTGTTTAGGTGATTAAAGGTAGGTGGCCCGCTCAGTTTAAAAGTAAATAACAGATTTTCATTATTTATATTAAACCATTTAATTATGGTTAAAACTAAAATATTGATAATTAACAGTTTTAGAGAATTTAAATAATAATCTCAGTAATAAGACTCAGATTTCATTTTTTATAGCTTTTACCAAATCAAGTCTGGATATATTAAAGTCAATAAATAAATAAAAACCTATTCTGTTTTGGTGACTTGATTTTTTATTTATGCAATAATTTGATCATAAAATAATATAAAACCTATGAGAGCAATCGTAAAATTCTAAAAAATTTATATAAATTAACTGGAACGAAATTGTTTTATTTATTTTGATTATTTCACGAGGGCTGTTTGAGAAACCTTTGATAAATAAAAGTAAAATTTAAGTTCTTATTTACATAGAAATTTATTTTTTAATGCCGTTGAATCTAAACTATATATTTACAAAAGCATTTTTTTATACTTTCTGGGAAATAAGATTATTTGACGTCATCAAAATATTCATAAACTGCAGAGATTACATCCGAATTTAATTAAATTCATTGATTGCATTGTCGTGACAAAGATTTTTTTGTAATTCTTTTACTTTCACCATTCAAATAGTTTAACAGCCTCACATAATATTGTCTGCTTATTGATTAAGACTTTGAAGTTGCAAGTCAATAATTATACCAGAGTAGAATCCATTATTTTTTCACTCTTCGCCTTTTTTGGATCAAATCAATTAATAAAAATCCTTTAACTCGACTGATCCTTGATTTCCAAAATTTAGTGGTGTATCCACGGCTTAATTACAGTTATGAAATGAGGTGGAAACTTTTGGTTTACTATAAAACATTTACAAACAGTACATGAAAATTATTATATTGATCCACTGTGATCACGAGCGGCACCCATCTTTGTGACAAAGAAAAATCTTTCGATTTTTTTTTGGATCACTATATCCAAATTTTTATTTCAGAACCTTCATTTGTGCGTACTGGACGTTCAGCTTCTTTGGTGCTAATAGGATTACAATGGAACTCGGTAAAACATTATTCTATTTCCATTTATTCCATTTCATTTGTTAATGCTGTCTCTACATTTTCTGTTTTGTGGTTTCAGAAATGATTTTTTTCTTCAAAAACTGATTTTTTTTTTAATATGTTTATATTCTTTAGAATACGTATTATTTTTTCAAGCACAGGTGTTTTTTTGTTGAGAGTTTTGTACGGCATCTAATCGGCTAAAAAGATGAAGAGCCCCATGATGACGCAGACACAGTAATACACTACTATTATTAGATTGCTCAAAAAGTTCGCACTACTTCATCAATTCGCTAATACTAGAATTAAAACTCTATTTTTTATAAGAATAAAGAAAGTATCCATTTCGATACGAAACAAACTTTACTGGTGAAATTATTTTGTAGAGAACAATAGTAGAATTTAGACATAGAGATAGTAGCTATCGTAAAATGGTATTGTCCAGACTTTTCGAAACACCGGTAAGGAAATTTGATTCATAAATTGGAAAAGTCGCAAAGGAATAAAGCGGGCTTAGCCCTTAGGCCTCAACCTTTGCTTACATTATTATATTTTTTTTCACAGTTTTTCCTGTATAACTTCATTTTTTGATAGCATATAATTGATATAATAATAATTATAATTTATTGACAAACAATGATTAACTCGACTTTGATATTTCGGTTGCTCCAATCGTACGCTTCTAACTCGGAATATGCCTCAAAATGTGAAACTACTTCTAAAACAAAAAAAAATCAGAACTTTATATTTCAAAAACCTATCCACAAAAAATTTTTTCAATGTGATTTTCGTTTATATATATTTTTTTATATTTTGTTAACTAGTGTAATTAAATAATCTCATCCTTTTATACTATTTTTTCGAGGCATATTAACATTAAGAATTTTTAAGGAATATTTAAAAATTATTCTTGGAAGAGAGCGATATATTCTTGGAAAAAATATAGAAATAATTTACAAATAGTTCACTTTATATTTTAAGTTGGATATATAGAGTAGGCTCAGATTAAAGTTTTTTTTTTAAATTTTAGATAACAAATTTTAATGCTAAAGCTATCAAATAATATAAAAAAAATTTTCAGAAATATATGCGAATGGAGACTTACATTAAAAATATGTTTAGGCGCGTGGGATAAAAAAAAATTAAAAATAGATTATTAGCAAATAATTGTGGTTTATAGTTTAATCTTATAGTGTAATTCAATAAAAACACCAATTTAAAAATCGTTTATTATAAACTACATATTATATAATTGTTTGTTTTAATTTGAACATTATAATAGCATAATAAGAATCTTGAATTTTTTAGACAATATGAGGAACTGTTGGGTTCCTATTCAATTCCATATTTCCAATATAAAATTTATTATGCTTATCACGATTTGGTATCAATATTAGCAGCTTTAGCGATAGACTCAGGCCTAACAAATAGTTTTCCATTAAGTTTTTAAAAGTTGAAATGCTATTATGGTCTTTAATTAAAGCTAACTGTATGCTCGAAATTAGATATAGATGGACGGAATAGTGTGTTTGACTCCTACTGTATGAACTAAAATACTTCTTCTTCATTTGCGGAATTTTTCCTCCTGGGACCGAGGAGGACCCCCTAAAAATTGGTTATCCATGCCATATGCTTTTACGTTCACGCCTCGACTCCTGAACCGATTTGGAAAGTCTTCCTTTGAAACACACGCATAGTTCTAATAAAGTTATTTTGGTAAAAAATATCTTGTTGCAAAAGTTTTTCATGATCTGTTTAGATTAACATTATGAAATTGTATTAAAAAAATAATAAATAAAACAATTAATATAAGTTCGAGAGTTTAATCGATAATCTTAACCATTTAAAACAAATTTTTTACCCTCAGTCTTTAGAACTTTCATACTAGATATTGTGTGGTGTGTTAAGATTTTAAGAGTTCTTCGTTATAAAACAATTTTCAATAATTAAATTATAAAAACCTTTTAATATACATTAAGACTGAATGGATTTATATATTATGCTTTATGAACATGAAATCATCCTTGGTGTATATATAACATGTTTATTATAATTATTATGTCAAAAATAAACGTCAACATATAATTTACCTTTTTTAAAATGTGTCTATTATTTATACGATTTACTGAACTAAGATGCTATTTAGATAGTTTATTGTGGCTAGTTTTATAGTTATTGATTCATTAATCCATATAAAATCTTCGACATCATATTATTCAATGTTCTATTAAATCACTAAGTTATGAGCGAAATTACAACTAAATCTGTGAACAGATTGCTGTTTCAGTGGAAAAAACTTCTTATATTATTTCATAATCAGTTGTGATAATACTCCGCCCTGATGAATAAGCGAAATAAACTTCTAGACATACGCGACATACATATAAAAAATAACTATATAAAAAAAAATAAAACACTAACAATTTTTTTCTTTGGTTTAATCCTTTAAGTGCCGAAAACTGATGCATTCATTCAGTATATGTAGAATAAGTTCCCAATTCTACTATATTAATTACTTTTATAATCACTCGATGTCCAGATATATAATTTTAAAATACCGAAAAAGATTTTTCTTTGCTTAATTGTATTAATAAGAATTAAAATCGATGGACGACGTTGTGTCACAGTCGCTATTTTAATTATATTTATTTATATATTAATTTACGATTCACTAATCACACTGTAAAAATGAAATTTAAAATGAAAATAAATATACATACATACATTAATACAAACATAATAAGAATTTGGAATCTTAGTATGCGACTAATAACTATTCATACGGCCCAAAGAATCTTAAGTTTATTCTTGATTGTACACGTTCGGCTCGATTAGATGGTTTGTTTATAAAATCAACTTAAAATTGAAATCTGATATCCTTATAAAATTCGACAACCAACTTTATTTTAATATAATTTTTATTTATACAAAACTATATTAAAATTAATTTTGTGATTTACAATAATCGAATTATGTAGCGATAATGCAATTACACATCATGAATGAAAATTTTTTTTTGTGAATTAATATATAATACTGCTGCAACGATCGACATTTTCATTTGCGACCGCAACTAAGGAAACAAAATTAAGATTTATCGTGTGAACATATTTTTAGTAATTTAGATTGTTTGTGTCGTGTGAAAACAATACGCGAGGTAATGTTCATTAACTGCTCAACCATCTTGTTGTTACTGTTGTTACTGTTGTATATGTGTTTGTTGTTTTCAACCTCTCTTAAAGCACACTAGCACAAGAAAAGAAGACAAATCCTTATGTTTTCACTCAAACGTATTTATTTTTCTCTTTTGTGCTTTTGTAATATTG